GCTTGTAGGTACGAAACCACCTCTTAAGTGTCACAAGCAGTCCTAGAGTTTATAGTAAAATAACACCATATAATACACATCAATCAACCATAATATCACCTAGATACTCTAATGTCACCACAAGTATCCGTGAGTTTTTTACGATATGCATCAAACAATTTCAGATTCATAATATTCAATCTAACACAAGGAACTTCAAAAAGTGCCCCAAGATTTCTACCGGAGAAACAAGGACAAAAAACCGTGCATCAACCCCTATGCATAGATTACCCCAATGTCACCTCGGAAATCTGCAAGTTGAGTGCCAAAACATACATCAAGTGAATCAATAGAAGACCCCATTGTCACCACGGGTATTCCACGCAAGAAATACATCAAGTGTTCTCAAATCCATAAAAATATTCAATCCGATAATAGTGAAACCTCAAAGGTAAAACTCAATTCATCACAAGAATATATATAGAGAGAAACACCATATGATCCAACTATAGTAACAAAGCTCGCGGTACATCAAGATCGTGCCAAATCAAGAATACGAAGGAAAGATCAAACACATAGCTACTGGTACATACCCTTAGCCCCGAGGGTGAACTACTTCCTCCTTGTCATGGAGACCGCCGGAATGATGAAGATGGCCTCTGGTGTTGATCCCCCCTCCGGCAGGTGCCAGAACGGGGTCCCGATTGGTTTTTCGTGTATACAAAGGCTTGCAGGCGGCGGAACTTCTGATCTAGGTTTCTTTTCGGGGGTTTCCGTATTTATGAGAATTTTTGGCATCGGTCTCACGTCAGGAAGGTTCCCGAGGAGTCCACAAGCAGGGGGGCGCGCTCTAGGGGGGTGGGCGTGCCCCCTGGGCTTGTGGCCTCCTCGGTCACTTCTTGACCCAGCTCCGATGCTTCGGGGGTCTCTTTTTTGTCCACAGAAGTCACTGTAAATTTTCAGTCCATTCCAAGAACTTTTATTTCTGCACAAAAATGACACCACGGTAGTTCTGATGAAAACAGCGTCAATCTGGGTTAGTTCTAATCAAATCATACCAAAACCATATAAAATTGTTGTAAACATGGCACAAATACTTCATAAATTATAGATACATTGAAGACGTATCAGCCATCAAATTGCACAGAAGGAGAAGAATTTAAGGCAGCTTTCCAAACGCACTCCGGCCACTTTGAGTAAAAGGTGGTGCACTATGGACTGGAAGGAGCACCACCCACTTTTCTCGGAGCCATGAATGTCACTTTGCACCCGGTCTTGCGTGTGTGTGTTATGATTTTCTTCAACGACATTGTTGTGTCTAGTCGATCTTTGGCACTGCATATACAACACCTCCTTTAAGTGCTGGCTTTCCTCCCCAAGGACTAATGGTATGTTAAGAGGTCAAAGTGTGTGTTCGCGCAACAAGAGCTCAATTACCTGGGCTACACTATCTTCGCTCGTGGGGTCTCCACTAACCACGACAAGGTTCGACAGGTAGCCGTATGGCCTATCCCCAACTCTGTCAAGGAAGTCCGAGCATTTATGGGGTTCGCCTGGTACTACAGACGCTCCGTCCATCAGTTTGGGATGCTGGCTCGACCATTGACCAACCTACTGCGCTAAAACACACCATTCCAATGGACAGAGGCTACACATTCAGCATTTGATGCTCTTAAGGCATCCCTAGTATCAGCACCCACATTGGCTTTGCCTGATTTCACTAAGCCGTTTGTGATTGAAACAGATGCCTATGACTATGGAGTTGGGGCAGTACTGCAGCAAGATGGTCACCCGATCGCGTATCTCAGCAAGGCTTTGGGTCCTCGAACAAAAGGGTTGTCCACCTATGAAAAGGACCCGATCGCGTATCTCAGCAAGGCTTTGGGTCCTCGAACAAAAGGGTTGTCCACCTATGAAAAGGAATACCCGGACATCGTTCTAGCCATGGAGAAGTGGCGCCCGTACCTGCAGTTCGGTGAATTTGTGGTCAAAACGGATACGCCTGGAGGAACAGCGCCTCCATACCCCATGGCAACAAAAAGCTTTTACAAAGCTTCTGGGTCTTCAATACTACATCTGTTATCGCAAGGGCACCGAGAACAGTGTTGCTGATGCTTTGTCACGTCGACCAATTACGGCTTCAGAGCAGGCTCAAGCTATCTCTGTTTGCCAGCCGGCGTGGTTACAAGAGATTGTCAAGGGCTATGACAAGGATCTCAAAGCACAGTAGGTAATCACTCGGCTAGCAATCGCGCCAGTGGGTGGAGGAAAGTTCACTATCAACAATGGCGTCGTGCGCTTCAAGGGCCGTGTTTGGTTGGGCAACAATACCAAGCTTCAGCAACAAATAACGAGGACGCTGCATGACAGTGCTATCAGGGGCCATTCCGTGTTCCCTACAACGTATCGACGGATTAAGCACCTCTTTGCATGGCCCGACATGAAACATCAGATCAAGAACCATGTCCAATCCTGCCAGATTTGTCAACAAGCCAAGCCCGACCGTGCACAGTATCCATGACTGCTTCATCTGTTGCCAGTGGCTAAACTCTGTTGGGAATTAGTCTCGATGGATTTCATCGGGGGCCTGCCACCTTCAAGACATTATGACTGCATCATGGTGGTAGTGGATACGTTCTCTAAGTACACCCACTTTCTCCCTCTCAAGCACTCATACACTGCTCAGGCAATTTCTCAGCTCTACATCCAGTGGCGGAGCTAGCGAGATATTACTGAGGGGGCAAATAGCCAAATATAATTGTGTGGAGGGGCCAAATACTGTATTTATCTTAATTTGTGTAATTCTAAACAGTGTTTCTTTAC